CAGAGATCACATATGCATGATTTACGCAGCTTGATTTTACCTTTCTCTTGCTTCTTTGTTCCTTAACACAGGCAACAATGAAATAAAAACTTCCACTGTGACTTTTCTTTAAACTTGTCTCTCCGTGGAATTTTCTGTGCTAATTCCTACTGCTTGTCCCCTGGGAGCTACATTTTAGAATTTCAGCTCTGGCTATTAGGATGCCAGAAAGCAGAAGAGTCTTTACTGTCTCATACTGCCCAGAATTCTCCCAAAATACAGCCTATTCCCACCTATGCACCCTTGCTGGCCAAGGTGATTTCTCCAAGAGCATTGCTCTTCTGCTGTGGGAGTACAGGCTGGTGCAGCAAAGACTCGGGGAACATGTGGCAAAGTCTGTGAGAGAGAAAAAAAATACAATATTTTAGTTATGACAAAGTTAAATGAGGTATTCATCTGCCATGTTAGGCCTGGAACCACATTCCTAACCTCATCCCACATCACTTCTCTGGGAAAAAGAAGAGGTTTTCAACGGCTTTGGGAAGGAGGGAAGAGGGTAGGAGGGATGGGGAAAGGGAAGAAGCCTCTGCAGTTCCTTAATGCCTCAGATCCCTTCCTGAGCACTTTTCATCTCCAATTAAAGGTCACCTACTGGTTCAAGAACAACTGTTAATGAAGAATTTAATTATCCCGATGACAGCTGTAAAATCTTGCTCCTATGCTTCAATCTTTTAAAGCAACAAGGGCCAGATTTTAAAATATGCACCTGAAAGTAAGTTCTTATTCTGCAAACTTGCTCTGAAGGAAGCATGTACATACAGTTCAAGTTTGCCTACACAGTGGGAGGTTACATATGCCCATATTAAGGATGCAGTAGTGTGAGGAGGTCTGTATGTGCTTGTCTGACTATTTGAACCAGACTGTTTTTCTTCTTTTGTTCGTAGCTTGGGCAGGGGAAAGAGGGGATGGTTAAATTATTCCTTGAGGATAAATCATTTCGTATTATTAACTCTTCTTAATGACAAAACTGCACAAATTAAATGTAAGATTATCTCCTGTGTCCTCAGTGGAAGGAGTGTATATAAATACCTCAAGGGAGGGAGTGCAGAGGACGGGGATGGTCTCTTTTCAGTGGTGGCCACTGATAGGACTAGAAGAAATGGCCGGAAACTGAAACATCAAAAATTCCATAGGAACTTAAGGAAAAATTTCTTAACAGTGAGGGTGACAGAGCACTGGAACAGGCTGCCCAGAGAGGTTGTAGAGTCTCCTTCTCTGGAGATCTTCAAAACCCGCTATTCTATCATTAGGAGGGGATATACAAGAAAGAAAAGTGGTTAAATGAATTTGAGGCTTAGTAAATGGGATACAAAGCTTCATCTTGAAATGCTAAGTGCAAACGTAGACCTGCCTTCTAACAAGGGACCCTCTTTGGAGACTTTGTGCAACCCCTACAGTGATGTAAAGAAAATATTTCATAATTCATCCCCTCCACAGAGTCAGGCTTTAGTTTTTAGTGATGCTTTTGACCAGCTGCTCCCATTACCCATGGGCTTCAGTCCATCCGGGCCTGTTTCTCCCTTCGCTAGCAAACACTTGCTGTGTGGGAGCATTGCACCTCCAGCCCTTCATCAGTTCCCCACAATGCATAGGTCTCAGGGTGCCATGCTGCTGTCGAAGAGATGGAAAAAAAGCTTGTGGGCAGTAAAAAGGCTGTCAGCAGGGCTGTCTCTTTGTGGCAGTCAGACAGCTTCAACAGGAGCAAAGACCTTACGTGCCTCTAATCAGGAATTTTTCTGGGGCTGGGTGAACACTGAGAGCCAGATGCAGGGTGCCATGTACAGGTAGGGAGGAAAGCAACCAGGAAACTGCAGTGTTTGCAGCTGGCAGATGGTTTTCTGAGCTAACTGGCAATGGGCTGCAAGCTAAGGCCAAGGCTGACACAGCAACTCTTGTGTGCCACAGCTAAGCAGAGACTGGGCTCTGCCGTCCCCCGTGGCCCGTTGATGTGTTTCCGGCACTGGAAAAAATGTCTCATCTTATTTCTTATTCCTTAAGAAATGTGAATTAATAGAATAAGTTGGCTTCCAACAACGCCAAGCCAGTGCTATTGAGTTATCCAAGTGGCTTCAGACATACCTTCCTCTTACCTCTGTGTGAGAATACAGAAGGGTTTTCTCAGTGGTGTCTTTCGTCAGGCAAGTTTCATTAGTAGGTCACAATGACCCCGGCTGCGGAGGCTGCACTGCACAAATGGAGCTCTCCAGATAAGCACTAATATTTATTGCATACTTTGGCAGCATATCTCTAGCTGTACACTTGTTCTCAAGGCACTTTGTTTTGATATTGGTTTTATTAAAATAGATTTCAGAAATGGAAATGCAAAATAGCTAAAGATTACACGCATAAACATGTTCAGTGCTGAGAAAATCCACACCAGACACCAGCAGGCATTTTATACATTACAAGCATGAATAAAATGTATGTCACATTTTCTTACACTATTTTCTTCAAAGAAAAAAAATGCTGCTTTAAAAACAACTGTAAAAGGACCAATATTCCACAAATACCAACAGACATGGGTCCTACCTACTGTACCCCTTTCCAATTTGGAAGATGCTTAAAATTAAAATGCAGAGAGAAATGAAAGCCAAAGAGATCTGAGGACTTCAAGAGGGAAGTTTGGTCCTGGCAGCACAAGGTTTGGATCCCAGTTTTGCAGCTGCTGCCAGGAGCCAGACTACCACAGGAAGTCTGTGCATGAGCAGTAGGTGTGAGCAGGATGACTTGTGTCTTAAGCCCTCTCCTCTTTCTTTACAGGCAAACAGTGGTACCAGCATTTCTGTGCTCTCCTGGAGGGATAAGGTGAGATGTTTGGTTATTCAGGCTGTATTTACTGCTCAAAA